AGAGCTTTTGACACCTGAAGTTACAAAATTACCAACCAGCATTCCTCCCTGTTATCCCAGTTGCCTCAGACCCCTAAAAATCTGTAAATTTCCAATTTCCCATTTATGTCACCCTGAACCTAGACTTCTCTTCCTCCCTGAAACATAATCGACTTATCTATTCAATACAAGCACTTCATTGGTAGGCCCAAACTCATAGCAACTTGTGTTCCTGTGGTTTAAATCCACCTATTTTAAGTCACTTAGTTTTTCAGCTGATGATTTACATTCACTTTGCAAAAAGCATGAAAACTAGATAAAAATGGGCAAAAACTACACATCTACACAAACTATTACCACTTCATAACGAAGTTAACTGATGTAAATCAATCATCAAAAGAGGAAACCAGAAGAGTCCAGAAACTGTCTTAGCCAGCAAACATTTGATCTTCCTGAGAAGAAGAGAGATGTGGTAAACAAAGGCAGTGCCAGTCTAGAAAATCAAAGTCTTAGTTCAGTTTTAAGCTATTAATGCTTAAATTTGTTTGTAAAATCTTATAGAGGAAGATGGTAGGAAAACTATGAGCTAAATTACCTCATAAAATAATGAGAAACAGTAGAAAAAAGAACAAGTTTATTGAACATTTATGATTACAAACATAAATGTGTTACAAACAAAAAAACAACTAAGTAAAATCAGACTGAGGGCATTAAAGGATGAAAATTGTAAATCGTAAAGACAAAAATGGAAAAGATTTATCAGTATTTCTATAACAAACACCTCCCTCTATCAATGAGAGTGGAACTACCACATTTGGATTCTAACATCATAGTCCCAGATGTGGCTCATGAAGAAATAGAAACACCATAAAAAAAAGAAAAAAACAAAAACAGCTGGATCAGACCAATTACACAAAGAGAAAGAAGTAAATCAGTTAAATCTTTGTTGGATTCATTAGCCTGTCTCATGCTGCATAAGAAAGTCTTATATCATGCCATATAAGGAAGACTGTTTAGGGGAGAATTTTAAAGTGTGGTTTTTTTTCCAATAAAAGTTTAAATTATTATTGTAATGATTAAGTGCCTAACGTGCTAGGGATATAAATATAATGAAAGAAATGATCCTTTTTCTCAAGGAGTTTACAGGATCACAAGATACCTTATAAAAGGAAGCACTCCAAATGCTTAGAAAAAAATCAGGGACTTGGTAAAATCATTGTTTAAAAAAAGGTAATGAATAAAATATCAATGCAATACCTTCCTACTAGCTTTTCATTCTGATTCCCTCCTATTGGCCAGGAATCATAAAGCAAGAATGCACCAAGGGCTGAAAAGCAATAGGAAGAAGAGCAGAGAAGTGGAGGAAGAAAGAACCACCAGGGTACCAGTTGACAAATAATGGTATGGAAAGACCCAAAGAGCCACAGCTGATGAGACACAGGACCCAGAAGTAAGGTTCTGGCAGTTCAAAGTCAGGCTGGAAAAATGGCAGTGTGAGAGGAGTCTCCATTACAGGGCTCACCCACAAGTCCAGTCCACCAGCAATAAACAAGATTCAAGGAGCGATCAAGGTCCTACACGGCCCAGCCAATAAGCTAACCATGCAGAGAAGCTGTGAGGGGACAAGATCAGAAGTCCAAGGCAGTAGCAAAGCATTGAGGGAAAGAAATTAGCAAGAGGAAAAATAAGTGCTGCATGTCCAAAGTTCCTTCAACTGCCTGGATATTGAATATTCCTAAGATCATGAAGGGAACAGTACTGGAGATGTTTGTTAGCTCTCAGTAGGAGTAGCTAATAGGGAGGTATGAGTGTAAACATGGAAAATGTCTCCCTGGAACTCTAGGGTTTGAGGAATGTCTATAGATTCATTAACGGTTGCCTGGGTCCAGGAGAAACTGTGGGCATGCAGAACAGGAGTTATTTTTATGTATTTTATTCCTTTAAAATTTATTTATGGGTATAAAGAACTACATAGTTTAATTATGTTAATATAGATTCATTGAAACAGTCTAAAGGTAGAAGAGCAGTTTCCTCCCAGTGAGGGGGTGGGAGGAATAAGCCATAAAGTCTAAATGGATAAATACACAAAATTATACCACACCCTCTAGAATAACAAAATCAGCACCACTACCCACAAGAGGGGCAGAGTTAGGTGACAGAGGTTGCCAAGTCTCTGAAAAACAGAGTGTTTAATGTCTCCCCCAGTACCCTCTGGTGTTGCATGGAATGCATAATTGCCAGGATAAGCACAGAACTGCCAATACTCAATCCTTATTATTGAATAGGATCAGCTAAATGGCCAGCAACAACCCTTGATAAATCAATAACTAATGACCTATGTGCCTGCTTGCCCATCTCTATATATCTTTGAAAATAGCACAGCACAATGAAGGCTTCAATAAAGGTTTGAATAGAGATCATAGGATCATAGAGTTAGAACTGAAAGAAGCTATTTAGTTCATCACCTTATTTCACAGATAAGAAAACTGAGGCCCAGAGAGGTTTTGTAACTTGCCCAAGGTGAAACAGCCAGAAAGTGGCAGAGGCACAATTTGAACCCAGGTCTTCTGACTACTAATCTAGTACACATCCATGACACGTTGCCACAACACTTTTGCAAGCTATATTCTGCACAACACTGTATCTTTACAGTTATACAACTGACTAAAAGGAGTAGTGAATATAACATCCCATCATGATTATTTCTGCTGATTATTTGAAAATACTGCCTTAAAGGCCCTCCTCCAACTGAAGCGAAATATTGCTTTAAAGGCCCTCCTCCAACAAGGTCAGAGGACCTGTGTTCAAATCTCAGCTCTGCTATTTGCTGCCTATAAGATTTGGGCAAGTCAACAGTTACGAACCATTCCTCACCCCCTCCCCAATAAAACTGGAGCACACTCTCCCACAAATCTATGTAGCACCTGAGAGAAGGGAAAGTAGAAACATAGAGTACAAAGGTAAAGGGGCATACATGTACCGAACACATGTAACAAAGGAAACTCTACCTTTGGTACCACAAGGCCCAGCTGGCATCCTCTGTCTCCTCATTGAGTTCAAGCTACACTTCTCCCTGGCCACAGTATCTTCACTTAGCTCCTGAGTCTATTCTTGCTCACAGCTCAGCTGTTGCCTACCACAGCTAGCTGTTTCTTGCAGCCAGGCCGCTCTTACTGATGCTGCCAGGATGTCACTATTTAAAGCTTCTTTTTGCCTTCAGTGCTGCTCTATCTGTCTCCATGAAGGATAGGTTTATGCTTCCTGATGGATGCATCTCAACTATGTCTTAAAGTCACTCAAGCTGACAAACTCAAATTGCACCGTGGGGGCAGCCTAGTCAGTTAAGGGCCCCTTTTCAATACAGAGTCTCTTCACGTTTCATAAAGGGAAAACAAAGTATTAATATTTTTTAAAATTTCATTAACACATTACTATAGTCTTCACAACCTCACACCTGCATTATTGTAATAACCTGAATGTGAGTCTACCTGCCTCAAGTCTCTCCTCACTCCATTCCTCAGTCCATCCTCTATTCAGCCGCTAAAGTGATTTTCCTAAAGCACAGGTCCTGGCACGTCACACACACTTCCCCCTATTCAATAACTCTAGTGTCTCCCTATTGATTCCAGGGTCACATACAAAATGCTCTATTAGGCAATGGAAGCCCTTTATAATCTAGCCTCCACCCTACGTTTCCAGTCTTATTACAGCTTACTCCTGATGCATACTCTTTGACCCAGTGACAATGGTGTTGTGGCTGTCCCACAAACAAAGCCATATTTTAGCTCCAGATGTTTTCCTCTGGCTATCCCCCATGCCTGGAATGCTCTCCTTCATCCCCTCTGACTACTGATTTCCCTGGTTTCCTTTTGTCTTAACCAAAATCCCACCTTCTTCAGAAAGCAATGCCTTCCCTCTGTTAATCATCTCCTATTTATCCTATATATGTGGATGATTTAAACATCAGTTGGTACCACACAATATTAAACGTTCTGGAAGAACACCTCTGGCATGTTAAATGGATCTTCCACGGAGGGCCTATAGAAGGACAAGGACAGAAATCACAGAGGGTAAGAAGGCATGGATACTGTCGGCAGAGAGACAAGGGACTAGAGGTAGATAATAAGACAGACTTGAACAAGATACAGATAGATTTATTTGACCTGACTCTACTTAGTTGTTGCAAAAGAGAGCTTGGCTTAAATATCCCTTTTTTCAGCTACATATTTTTATTTTGTTTTGTTTTGCTTTTTGTCTGCTTGACTCTAATGAAAACCATATGTAGAGAGAAGGAATCTGTCCCACTAATTTTGGAAGGACTCAGAGAAATCACATGTATCTAATACCACACAATGCATGATTTGGGAAAACTATAATTGTCATGTTTCAAGATTTTCTCTACAGATTTCCCTATCCCTTGCTAAAGTACTAAAGATAAGGGTAGAAATGAATTTTGCATTTTTCTTAGCAATTCCCCAACAATCCCTAAGGGTTTTTTTTCTGTCATTTCACTACCTTTCTACCAGGAATGAATAAGAAAGAATATTCAATGAATCTAATGAAAGAGGAAATGCAAAGAGAACAAGGTGTAAATTTCACAATGTTGTTCACAACTAAGTTAAAACACCTGGAAGAACAAAGTTGCGTAGACGCTGTGTGGCTGACATTACTAACACCAGGGTCACAATGAAAGGGCTTTCAGGAATCTAAATGAACCTTCTTTCTGGTCCCCTTAGCAATCAAGAAAAAGCTGAAGTCAGCCACGTTTCTCAAACATACACGATTTCAGAAGATCCTTCTATGAATCATGTAGAGATGAGAGGAGAGAAGAAATGGGGACAAAGGGGAAATGAAAGAAAAGAAAAGAGACATTCAATGCAGATGCCACTCCTGCTGCTGAGTCATATCAGAAAGTGGTTAAACAGAAACCATTCTCAGTGAAGAGTTTAGCCAATTACTACAAATGAGTTTTAGCATTAAGACAACTAAAAAATATCCATATAGTCTTGGATTGACCATACCTGACCAGTTTGATTGTCCACTCCTGAAAAATCATTGGATAACCCCAAGGAAGCTGAAAAGAATTGTTCTTGCAGTCTGGAATCTATTTGAGCTAGTTGCTCACGCTCTATATGTGCTGCAGACATATATCCTTTTTCTGGTATGAGCCAGGCAGACTCACCATCCTAAATGAGAAACAAGGGCAAAGTTGCTAGGATATTCATGCAAAGCTATAATTTCCTGAAGTTTACCCAAGGAAGCTTAGATTGGCCAGGAGTTACCTAACACCCTAAACCTCTAATGAAACAGAAGTTGACCTGTAAAACGGGATATTACCATGAACAACCAAGTTTCTAACTGAAGAATGGCAAATGTACCATACATTTTCACTAAATTTGAAAGAAGAAATTAAAAGAATCTTACCAATTTCTACTTCCACAAATCCCTCATATCTGACCCCTTCTCTCTACTCCTGCTGCCAACTTGTAGTTAAAGTCCTCTTCTTTTGTTAGGAAAAAGTACCGTAGTAGCTTCCTAATAAGTAATCCTGCTTCCAATCTGTACCCTCTCCAAAACATCCTGCTTTGCTGAGTAATCTTCCTAATGCAATACCATGATCAATTTACTCCTCTACTCAGAATGGTCACTGGTTCCCCTTTGCCTACAAATAAGTATAAACTCCTGTCTCTGGCATCCAAAGCTTTCTACAATCTGGTTGAAATCTGGACAGTCTCCCTTTTACAAACTGAGGAAGCCATAATAATCTTTTACCAAGAGCAACAGTTTGAAAAACTACTCTACTCCCACAAATGTTTTAAAATTTGGCCAAATTTATCAGTAAGTAAATCATTCCCAAGGAATAAGTTAGGTACCTTAAAAGCTTAACTAATGAGAGGAACCAGACCTCTGATTTCATTGGTACAAGGAATTCTCAATAAGGAAACTCTGCCAAAGCAGGTTGGCACCTTCTCTGCAACCAAAAGTCTTAGAAAGTTGTTAAGAGCACTGAAAGGCTAAGGATCCACTTTGAAGTAAATTCTAACTTGCCCTGAATCATAACCAATAAATGTCAAAGGCATAACTTAAACCCAGGGTTACTTGGCTCCAAAGCCAGCTATGTATTCCTCAGGCCACATTGTCTCCTGAAGATTAATTAGTTACTGTAAATTCAACCAAATCTAATAAATATTTATTAAACACCTGTGCAAAGGCATGATGTGACACACTGGAGATACAAAGATGAAAAATGACCCAGACTCTAACCTCAAGGTCTTTGCAATCTACTTGGGGGAATATGACCAAAGGTCCAATTAGGGTATGATAGAGTGGAAGGAATGATTCAATGCTCTAAGAAAGATTGAGGAGGGGGTGAAGTCACTTTCACTTTCAGAGGTAGAAAGTTGGGTCAGGGAAGAGGAAGGAATAAGGAAAGACTTTACCTGAGCTTGGCCTTAAAAGAACAGAAGATTTCAAGAAGCAGAGATGAGGAAGAAGGGAAAGATTGGGGAATAGTCGGCACCAATGCAAAGAAGGAAGAATAAGCATTTATTAAGCACCTACTATGTACTAGGCACTAAGCACTTCATAAATATTACCTCATTTGATCCTCATGACAACCCTACATTGTAGGTGCTATTATTATGTCTATTTTGCAGTTGAGGAAACTGAGGCAGACAGAGGTTAAGTGACTTTCCCAAAGTCACACAGATAGTGGAGCAGGACAAGATCAGGGAGAGTCTGCCATTTGTCTAGAATGTAGAATAAATGAAGATACATAATATAAACTATGTGGGCATGATTTATTACCTCAATCCAATATTTGATTCAAAGTTCAATATAGTCTCAGATGCCAACTCACTGGGAAGGTATGATTGATTGATTAACAACATCTGAATTTTAACTCATATGCTGTTGGAATACAGCAACTGAGTAGCAATAGGCCTCAAGAACATTCTATGGTTAAGTTTATTTAATAATGTGGAAAGTTAAAGGTACATACACATGTAAAGTTGTACAGGATTCATTTATAGTAATATATAATTCTAAAAAGTTATATAACAATTTGAAAATAAGTAAAAGCTTCCTAACTAGAAGTGGTGTGAGCTAAAACAAGAAACAATGGGAGGAAATATGTACAGTCAAGAGTGCTGGATATGGTGTCAAAGGGCCTGGTTTCAAATCTTGGCTCTCCCACCCACTGCATATCTACTTACGCACTTTAGGTCTCTGGGCTTCAATTTTCCTCTCTGTAAAATGATGGGGCTGACCTCCATGAACTTTGAGGTCCCTTCTAGGGATAAATCTATGATCTTATGATTCTAGGAAATATATGCAATTAACGACCAAAAGGCAATTTTCCAAGTATCAGACTATGTCTGAACCAAATTCTCTTTTTTAGCCTAAACTGGCTTATTCAATGGCTTACAGAAATTCATATTTTAATAACCAATATCTTGCAGTTATACTCCAATATCTCAATGATCAGTGACTCCATCAATGTAGGTATTCATTCCTCTGATAAAAACTACAGCCTTAGGAGAGAGACTTCATGAGTTGTTTTAGATGAAAAAATGCATCCCATGGTGGCCACCATTTTGAGAATAGGCTCCCTGATTCTTTTAGCTGGACTGATTCTTCAGAAATGAATACACAGTTCATCATTGTACATGTACTCAAAAAATCCTTTCCAGTTTTGTGAGATGCAACTGAGCTCATACTTTGATTACATGACTTTTGGGGTTCAGTTTCACTTTGATGCCATGAGGCATCAGAGTAAGGTTTTGGTCATGGATAGTCATCATAGAACCACTTTTTAACTAGAGAAAATGGAAAATTAAGGATTGCTTCTGAAGCAAAATTCTGTATTGTTTACAAAAGATATCTCTGGCCACTTCTAATAATAACAAGAAGATAATAACTAATATTTACACAGAGCTTTAAGGTTCTGAAAAGTCCTTTGCAAATATTCTTGATCCTCACAACAACCCTGAGAGATAGGTACTATTATTATCCCCATTTTACAGTTGAGCGAACTAAGCCAGATGAAGGTGAGACCAGATTTGAACTCTGGTCTTCCTGGCTCCATATCCAGCACTCTATCCTATCCACTACACCACCTACCTGCCTCATAAAATGAGAAAAATCACAGTAAGCCTCATCAATACTTCAAGAGGCTGTGACCTCATCAGCACACAGAGCACAACCAGTCTATAACTCTGAAGAGTCTTGGAGATTCCCAAGGCTCAGAGAGGTTAAGCAGCTTCCTGGTAGTCAGATGGGTAGGAAGTGTCAGAAATAGCCTCTGAACCCAGGTTCCCCAAGTCCATGTCCAGCACTCTATCCACTACACCTAGCTGTCTCAAACCTTGGACAGTTAATATAAATTGGTAGCAAAATGGCATCAGTTTTTAAAATGTACAGCTGAATGAGCAAATCTACAAGATACAAAGTATCAGTGTCGACATACCTCAGTACTTGGAAGTGTATCTTCTCCATTGTCTATATCCTTTAATAATTCAATCAATCTTCTTTTTTCTTTATCCATCATAAAGACTACATTTTTTGAGTCCTTAGCCAGCTGCAGAATTTATGAACAGAATATTTATAGCTCCAGAAAACAAAAATTGGTCATCAAGCTCTCCCACCTCTATCTTTCAAAGTCCCATCATTATGGTCAAACTTGTGGGCAATAGTATTTTATATTCAGTAGCTGGGATACACTTTGTACAGAGTTAATGGCACTGGCCCACTTCACAGTTGTGGCCATTACAAGCAGTCCCTTCTTACTGACAGCTTCAGAAAATAAAAGATTTTAAAATAGAAACACTGAATGAGAAAATCTGCTTCTTATATGTTGCTGCTAGACGTCTGAAAGTGAGAGATCTTTCCATTGTAGCCCATCATTACAAAATGGAAATTCTTTCCCTCAGACCCACAAGCCGCCAATATCATTCTGGGACTGCTTAGAAAGAATTCAGGCAAGGAAAAGGAGAGAAGAAACTGGTCAGGAGGATGAGAATTGGATTGGTCCTCAAGAACATTACAGAGTTGAGAAATTGTGCTCCCCTGCTCCTTCCTATAAAAACTGACCACTACTGTGCAGACCCCAGGCAGGGCCAGGGCCACCGCCATGCCAGCAGATTGTAATATACTGCAGGATCATTCATAAGACCCTTCTCCCGTCTTTCATTTTTGCCTCTGAGTTGGTAGGGACAGGAGTCCAACAACCAAAAAGCATCTCTGAGATCTCTTTGGCCTCTGCACAAAGAGGAAAGAAGCCAAACAGAGGAAGACACTCTGTTACTGCTGACTTTTGCAAGCTATATTCTGCACAACACTCTTCTGGACCTCTTTTCCCCTGTGCTTTCTGTCCATTCCCCCAAAACTGTTCATCATATTGCCATATAAAAGAAATTAACAACCACATACCTTTGTTTTATGTTTAATGTTAATTTGCTGTTATAGGAGTTGGGGACAGAATGAGTCTAGAAACACAACCTGTTTCCCTCCACCCCCCCAACTCCCAGTGGGAGGCCTAGATCAGTGGCCAAGTAAAGATTTCTTCCCTCAGACATCACATGCCTGGGGTCAGCCTGCTAGAGTTTTCCTTACCCTGCCCAAGGTGAGAAGCAGGAGAAATAATGAGCAGGGAGAGCAATTAATAACAAGAAATGAATAATATTCCCCTATAAGCTATATCAGCAAGTTGAAGCCTAAAACCAAGAGGGAGGGGAAAGGGGCTCATTCCCATAAGCACCACTGGTTCTGCTTGGAGTCTTTCACTCCCAGGCCTCTCTCCTATAATTGCCTTTCCTTTCAGCAGTATTTAATTTATCTTACACCCTTATTAATTATCGCCATTAAATTGTGAGCTCCTTGAGGACACAGAGTGTCTTTTGCCTCCTTTTGTATGTGCAGTGCATAGCACAATGCCCAGCACATAGTGTTTGATAAATGCTTATTGATGGATTGGTTATGGATACTGATTTATAGTTAAAAGTGCTTTCATATACTCTCTAATTTATCCTCACAATAACCCTGTGATGTATATAATGCAATTACTTTCATTTCAGAAATAAGGAGACTGTAGATCATAGAAGTTAAATGTTTAGTACAGTGTCTGGCAGACAGCAGTTCCTTAATAAATGTTTACTGATTGATTGATTAAGTGGCCTGTTCAAATCCGGTAGATTATCATATCTATGGCTCCAATCTGGGTTTCCTGCTTCCAATACACTATGGAGTTTCTAATCACTACCTATTGGGTACATACGCAACACGTGACCGAGCTTTCAGATTTTAAGAATGTCACAGGATTTTCAGGTTTTAGAGCTAGAAGGGGTATTGAAGACACCAGACTGGCATATTTTACATGTGTTCAATTAACTTTATTTTGCTAGGGGAAAAAAAAAAAAGGAAAGCCACGATAACGGCTCAAATGATGAATCAGATTTTCAATCCTACCTGATGAAATAAATTTCAGTACTTTACTACTACAAAATATTACACATCTACTTGCTAACAAATTTTAAAACATTATCAGAGTATCATTTGACAGCAGTCTGTAAACCACTCAATTTTTAAGAACTAATTTCATTCCAAATCTGAGACTTTTACAAATTCTAAATTCATACCTCTATATTTCTCTTAATGAAATCCTGATTTTTTTTACCCTTGAGTTCACCATAATTTTCTCTCTGTGGCTTCTTTTCTGGTTTGATCAATGATTTATTACTTTCACTTTGATATGCAGACTCTGATATAAAAGAAGCAGAGGTTTTCTAATTAATGTCATTTAAAAATTCCATGTCAAACATTTACAATCATAAACAGAAAAATCTTAAGAGATTCCAGTATTACATGAACATTCAACTTTTTAGAAGTGAAACATTTGACTATAACTCTCAAAGAAATTACTTGTAAAATGCTTTTGTTTTTTCTATACTCAAGTTGAAATCTATAATGAAGAGAGGAGTTCTCTATTGTGGGGATAGCATAAATGTTAGACACAATTTTTGCCTAAGATAAGTTTAAGTGTTGGCCCCTGATGTGACAGTGTAACTCTGCTAAGTAGAATTTTTTTGCTTAAGATGAGTTACGACTATAGGCATCAAAGGTGATAGACCTTTTCTAGGAACCAGTAGACATAAAATGGAGAAATTTAATTTAGGAGTGAGTTACTGGACAAAGATGAGGTAAGACTGATCACAGGGCAGTTAAGCACCACTGTTTAACAACCATCACCATCACATACACACCCACCCACACACACACACACACACACACACACACACACACACACGCAGGAGACTAATGTTTTATTTTATGAATTCTTCATTAAAAACACAACACATACGTAAAAGCTAATAACTCAGACTTCGGTCTTATCATTAGGTCTGGTGTTTCCTGCTTAATTTTACTGGAAACAACTAAAGACACACTTTCTAGATTTTATGCTCAGTTTCCCAGGAATATTCTTGGTAAAATACTGGGACAACTCTTTCTAGGTGGCCCTCTCAGTTTTTCAGTTTCTTGTTTCCCCATTTATCAGGGAACTTGAGTAAATCTTCCTCCCCAGTCTCTAATCAGTAAAATTATAGCACCAGAGAGGAATCCCACTTGGGTGTCCTAGGGATATCCTTTATGCCAAACTTCCTATATCATACTTCCCGTCTTCAACTGGCCATCGAAGTGCCAAATAAATCCTTCAGTCAATTTGACTTCCAAACTTCCTCATAAAGGTCATAGGAATCCCCGTTGAAGGGCAAAGGAGTCTACCCTGCTCAGGTCATATAAAAATACATTAAATTGCAAAAACTTCATCTTTAATAGTAACATCTAGAGAAAAAATTGGTTAAAAACTACTTTCATCTTAGAAGACATCCTGTGCTAGAAACTTCAGCCTTCTCACTAGAATGAATTAAGCTGAAATATCACCAATGTATTTATAGCTAATTCTCAAAGTCAAAAATGAGTGTCTGATCATTTGAGGAAAATGTTTGAATCAGCAACCAACACTCTCTGGGGAAGGATGAAATATTTGTTATTTATTTCTTTGTGAATACTTTATAAGAAGATTATTTATGTATTTGGAGTTACTAGATTCTGAGCAAATTAAAGTTCTGCTGATGCCTCACAGTTTGGAATTTGCTTTATTTTGACTCTTACTCCCTTTAGTAGTATGACCCATTTGCTTTTGAGAGAGAAGGAGGAATGACCATCAAAGATGGGAAATACATGGCTTTTATTTGCTATGATTTAAGTTATATATGTTTTTTTAATGAAATATAGCATTTTTTCATTCCATTGAAACTATCATATGATATAAAGGAATGCAATTTTAAAAATAAATTATACAAATAAAATAAAACTCAATTACATAAGTCTGTATTTTTAGTCAATTATGGCTAAAATATGCTACCAATGGGCATGATCCCATAAATCAAACAAACCTTGCCTGGCTTGCTCAATACAGTTTTCATATTCTTCTGGAGGAATTTGCGTGTGAAACACAGAAACGAAGGGTTCCTCTTGTTCCAGGTGAACACACTCTATTAATTAAAAGTCAGTCAATCAGTGCAGGTAACAGAGAAAATTATCTATGCCCACAGAGTAGTCATAAAAACATCACAGTATGTCTTCTCATTGGAACCCCCCAATTCCCTCCTTACACATAAGTTTCTTACGTTCACGTCAGCTCAACTGGAAATAGAGAAGATTAACAATCTGACTTTGTGTGCATGGGAGAACAAAAATCACAGAAAGGAAAAGAAGGCAACTTAAAGTGCCCAGGCCTGCAAGCTCTATCACTAGGAACTAAGTTCTTAAAAGATGCCCAAGGTTATACTGCACTATTACACTTATTCATCAAAGCAAAATGTGTAAAACATACATTCTCCATGACATGAGAAATATGCAACATTTACTGGCCATAGTCTCCTGTTTTTACTTTAGCTCCTCAAGAACAAGCAACGATGTTAGTTTTCAGGAAATGTGCTTAATTATAAAGACAAAGAAATTATTTTGACAGTGAAATTTAAGAGGGATCCTAAATAGTTGATCACTAATTTTTTGACTGCTGTTAATTATGCATTCATAGAATGTTAACTTGGGCAGCTAGGTGGCACAGGTCCTAGAGTCAGGAATACTTATCTTCCTGAGTTCAAATCTGGCCTCAGATACTTACTAGCTGTGTGACCCTGGGCAAGTCACTTAACCCTGTTTGCCTCTGTTTCCTCATCTATACATGAGCTGGAAAAGGAAATAGCAATCACCCCAGTATTTTTGACAAGGAAACCCCAAACTGGGTCACAAAGAGTTGAAATGACTGAACATATAAGAAATTCTGAGCAGGATGGTTTCACAAAAACCTGGTAAGACTTACATGAACTCATGTAAAGTGAAGAGAGCAGAACCAGGAGAACATTATACACAGTAACAGCAATATTGTAAGGGTGATCAACCGTGAAGCCTTAGCTACTCTGATTGAGATAATGATCTGAGAGAAATGATTATTTCTTTCTGATATTAATAACCAATTACTGAATTAGGATTAAGGTTTTCCCCTTTTTGTTTCCTCATTCAGAAATCAGCCCCTTGTAAGTTATTCGCCAGCATCCAAAGGACATTGTGGATAATGAGATTGTAATAACTTTCTCCTCAGTCTTGTTCAGACCCCACCCAAGTGGGACAGCTCACGTGTTCTACTCAGGCTTCCCTTGGGGTAGATCCTTTTACTAGATTGCTCAGGCTGGGGGAAGTCTGGGTAGAGATTAATAAGAATGACATAATCAAAGTCATATTCCCCAGCCCCTCATTAGAATAAGTCCACCTCTCATTGTAATATTCATTTTCTCACTAATTATTAACCAACCAGAATTGATTGCTGTCTGTCGGGAATGATGATCCGTCTTTGGTTCACACGAGACAGCCAAATGACCATTCTTTTATTAATTATTCACTAGCTATGATTAATAAAATGATTAATTACCTAGAAATTATGTCTCTCAAACTTTATATATATCACATATCCAAGACAATTCCAAAGGACTCATGATGAAAAAAGCTATCCATCTCTGAAGAGAGTACTAATGAACTCTAAATGCAGATTAAAGCATACTTTTTTTTTAAACTTTATTTTTATTGTTTTATTTTGTGTTTTCTTTTGCAACATGGCTAATGTGGAAATATTTTGGCATGACCTCACATATATAACTGAAATTAAAGTGCTTGCCTTCTCAAGGAGGAAGGAGGAGTAGGAGGGAGGGAAAGAATTTAGAACTCAAAATTTTTAAAAATGATTGTTAAAAATCATTTTACACGTAACTGGGAGATATTTAACAAAATAATTTTTTTTTTAAATTTTTAAAGAACGTCAGAGAGGCTGTGGGAAAAAAGGCACATTATGGCAGTTACTGGAACTGTGGATTGGTATAATCATTTCAGAAAGTAATTTGGAACTATGCCCATAAATTTACTAAACTATGCATGCTCTTTGACCCAGTGTTACCACTGCTAGGTCTATAGCCCAATGATACCAAAAAATGGGGAAAAAGACCCATATGTAGAAAAACATTTACAGCAGCTCTTTTTTGTGTTGACAAAGAATTGGAACTGAGGTGCCAATCAAATGGAGGATGGCTAAACAAATTTTATGGCATGTGAATGTAATAGGATCCCTAGATTTCTTCAAGGATTACCTCATATCACCTCCTCTATGAGGCCTTTCCTGATCCCTCCCAGTTCCTAGCTGCTTATACCTCCCTCCATTAAGAAATTACTTTATACTTACATTTTGTATTTCCTTATATGCATACACAGATTTCCCATGATTGAATGTAAGCTGTTTGACAGGAGGAACCATTTTGAGCTTATCTTTATATTCCTGGTGCCTAGTATACAGTATGCACTTAACAAACACTAGCTGATTGGCTATATGAGGCCTTCCCAGATCCTCTAGTTGCCATCCCCCTCAAGAAAAAAAGTCATTTTGCTTCTAGTTTGTATTTGCTCATACCCTTACGTTGTTAGGCCTCAGTAAAATGTAAACTCCTTAAGGGCAAAAGTCTGTTACTATCTTTATATTCACAGTCCCTGGCACAAAATAGGTTCAGTATTAAATAAATGCCTGTTGAGTGAATGAATGATCTACAGAAGTAGAAAAAGTTCCCACACTGATGAAATCACAAATCATTGAAATACTGACAATTATAGGCATTTAAATATGTACACAAGAAAAAAAGTTAATAAAAACAAACATGCAAACTGAAACAAATAACAAAGAAGGTAAATGATTGTGTCTATAAACTTTCGTTGCTTCACGGTTGTTAACTCCAACTCCAAAAATGAATATTATTGACTTTAACATAGCAGCCTCCATGTTCATGATCCTTCTTGTCATTTTTACTCAGCACATAACAAGAATTTGTTGCTGCTATTGTTAACTTTTACTACACAGCTATAGTCACTGTGAACACTTTTCTTTTGGTCTAGCTTTCTCCAACTGCATAATTTTATAGCAGTTTTCCCCTATTTCTCTGAATTCTTCACAGGAAGGTACTCTGGGGTAGCTGTCAAGCTGCCTGTACCTCTCTCTGGTTCTCAGTGAAGCAAGCTGTCACTCTCCCAGTTGGTTTTTTTCCCTTTCTCATATATCTAGAGGTAGGGGTTAGTATTTCCACCGATTAATTCAGTGTAGTACTCCCCTCCCCATTACAGGATCATAAATTTGGAGTTAAAAGGAACCCCAAAAGTTATCTTATCCAACATTTATTTTATAAATGAGGAAAACAGTCCCAAAATGATCATGTAACTTGCCCATGTTTGCCCAAGGTAGTTAGGGGGTAGAGCTGTGACTTAAATCCAGGTCCACTGACTCCCAATCTTTCTACTGAACACACCCTCTCTCCCTTTGATCTCATATCTGCTATACTACTTTTAGGGTCATTTAGAAAGACACACTTGTATTTGCTGTCCAGTCATGTCAGTCGTGAGCAACTCTCCATGACCCCATTTTGAGTATTCTTGACAAAGGTACAGAAGTGGTTTGCCATTTCCTTCTCCAGCTCATTTTATAGATGAGGAAACTGAGGCAAACAAGGTTAAGTGACCTGTCCAGGGTCACACAGCTTAGTGTCTGAGGCCAGATTTGAACTCAGGAAGATGAGACTCCCTGACTTCAGGCCTAGCACTTCATCCACTGAGCCACTCAGCTATCCACACACCTGTATACAGGTTTTAATAAGAATAACCAAAATAAATCATAGTAAGTTGGTATCAATACGCCCAGCCCATGTTTACTAAGCCCATGACCCTTTCAGATCCTATATCTACCCTCCAGCCATATATGGTCCCAAGGACTGGAAACAGAACTCCCCATAATTCTGAATAGCTTTTCATTCACAATAAAAGCCTTGCTGTAGATCAGTATTCATTGATTTGATACAAGTATTAAAAGTATTACTTGGTCTCTCCTGAAGACTACATGGTCAGGAATAGTACGCAATATCACTCCCAGGTAACTACAGCTCTACTTCCTAATCCCAGGTACTCCTTCCTACATGGCTATCAGGAGTCTTTATTTAACTACATCACTGTCCTTTTAATACAATAAATGCATATTTAACATTTTTATCAATGACTTGGGTAAAGGCACAGACAGCATCCTTATCAAATTTGCAGACTCTACAAAGCTAGAAGAGATAGCTAATAGCATGGATGACAGAACCAGGAACCTAAAACATTCTGACTGGCTAGAAAATTGGGTGGAATCAAATAAGATGAAATTTAATAAGCATAAATTTAGAATTATACAAGATAGGAGAAGCTGGATTATTATTAGTTCCTCTAAAATGATGTAGGGACATTAGTTGATTATAAAACCAAATATGAATCAACATTCATATAGCAACCACCAACACCTCATGTGATCTTGGCCAGAGCTCCCGAAAGTGAAAAGATGATCATTCTATTATGTTTTGTTCTAGTCGGGCCACATCTACATCACTGTGCTCAATTCTAGGCACCATATCAATAAGCTGGAGAACATCCAAAGGAGAACAACTGATTGGCGAAGGGCTTCAATTCTATGCCATATGAGAATCACTTTTTTTTAAAACTAGGAATGCTTAGTCTGGAGAAGAGAAATCTCAGGGAGGACATGATGGTTGTCTTCAAATGTATGTCGAAGAGAAACTAAATTTTCTAGCATAGTCCCAGAGGGCAAAACCAGGAACAATGGGTGAAATCAATGACTTAAATTTATACTTTATATCAAGTAAAACTCCTAATCATTTCAGTCAATTGATCAAGTATTTATTAAGTCACTACTCCATTCCAGTGCTGTACTAGGCACTGGGGATAAAAAGACAAACAGTACCTGCCCTCAAGAAGCTTGTATTCCATCAGAAAGACAACATATACACATACATATACATATATATGGAGAGACATATATATATATATATATATATATATGTGTATATATATATATATATATATATATATGCAGATGTGTGTGTGTGTGTGTGTGTGTGTGTGTGTGGAGAAGGAA